CACTCCTCGCGCGGCGCCGGCTGTGGGCTGCTGAGTGGGCAGGTCTCCGTGTAAGTTGTTTTCTGTGGCTCGTGGGCCATCCCGACTGCACGCTCTGCACACGGACTCCACTGGTCACGGGGAGCGGGGAGCGGTGTGATGTGCTTGAGCGGCCTAATCCGAACTCGTCTTCCGGCTTCCTCCCGGGCCCCCGTGGGGATACCGGCCGCCCTTGCGAGCTTTAGGCGTGATCATCTGCGTTTTGCTGAGATCAGGAACCCGAGCATTTGGTCGCTGGGGAGCCTGCAGCCTGTGGCCTTGTTGGTAGGCAGACTCCTGGCTCCCGGCGAGCCCTGCCCCCTTGCAGCTGTTGCGGTCTAGCGAGGGAATTTGCCCGGAGGGACAGGCAAGTGAGCAAGTAATTACAACAGCGTAAAGGCTGCCTATGTAGCAGATAAAAAGGGTATTGGGTGCGGAGGCGGGGGGAGGCCAACGGTGGGAGAAAGACAGGACTCCCTTAGGTGGTGACTAAGGCTCTAAGGAAATGATGCCTGGGCTGAAACCCGGGGGGTAAAGAATGATTCCAATTATTCAAACATCCCAGGTCAACTCAGAATTTAAAGTGACTCTTAAATTAAGACTTACAAGAGTATAGCAGGGTTATTTATTATAGACAAAAAACCAAAAGCGATTCAGGGACCCATCAACAGGAAAATGGATAAACGAACAAAAAGGCGTAATTCTACAATGAAAGACTACACAATTGAGAAAAAATTATATGCAACATTGATGAATATCTAAAACATGGTAAGTGACGTAAGTTATTGTAAGATATATATTCTTTTTAAAAATGTTTTAATTTTTATTATTTTGATTGGACAGTAAAATTAGTGCCCTGCTGTGATGAAGAAAATTAACACACTTTCTCCTAACCTCCCCCACCCCCCATTGTTAGTGTCCTACATAAGGGATGGTTCTTTTTCTGGCTTCATTAAGTATGACTTCATTAAGATAAAAAAACTTCTCTCCAAAGACACTATCAAGAGAAAGAAAAGACAAGGCAGAGACTGGGAAAAATAATTGCAAAACGCGTATCTGATGAAGGACTTGTATCCAAAATGTTCAAAGAACTCAAAACTCATTAAAATATAGGCAAAGAGCCAAAAATGCCTCACCAGAGAAGATACGCAGATGGCAAATGATAGATCCTCCCTTCCCCCATCTGCTGGGCGGGGTATGAGTAACCTGCAGCCCAGAAATACCTGAGTGACTAACCAGGTACCTTATATGGACTATACATTGGACCACCAATCCACACCTGCCAAACACCCTAAGCCCTTGTCCTATATGGACAAT